AAGTGTTTTCCTGTGTGAAGGTTGGTGTGAATGTTGAAAAGTTGACACATACATTTAATTTTTAAAAGTTAACATTTAAAATTAATTCCTTTAGTTTTAACAAAAAGTATTTGTCAGAACAAAACCTATCTTCATCTGTCCATTTTTTTTTCTTTTTTTGACATAATTTCCAATAGAAATTGTCCAAAATGACCCAGAATAAAATCTTTGCACATTTATTTACATTAAAAGTTAAGAGGGTTTTTTCCGTCTTCTCTGAAGTTACTTTTGGAGAAAACTTTGACAGAGACGATATACTTTTCTTCTCATTCTCTATGAGATATGACTTAATGCAGTGAACATCATATATTAAATAATGCATTGAATGCAATGATATACTGGCGCCCTGGGTACTTCACTATGGATTCAGGTCTTTCAATTCATATAAATGAAATTTGTGACCAATTTTTGACAGTAAACATTAGCGTATTCTCTTTTTTTTTTTAATACCTTCAAAATGTATTATTGCAGTTTGCAGTATATATGATATTACCATGGCTGTGTGGTGTCGTGAGTGTCATGTATGATGCTTTTCTTGTCGTCTCATCCTGCGATATTTCAAAATAATAGTAGTTTGCATATAGTAGTACATGATTTTCAAAGAGTCATTCAGTAAATGTCAAACCATCTGTTTAACAGATAATAAATGTTGAACTGTGCTGCTAACTAGGAGGGAAGAGCTGGTTAGCATTTGCTTATCTGCCGTAAAAGCTCTGCTTAATGCAGACCGTGTTCTGTTCTAGGTAACTAAAGCAACGCCACAAACTTAGACAATAACAATTCAAACCTTAAGAAGTGAAGTTGAGCAACTGGTGTTGAAGAGACACAAAGGTGAAATTAAACCTGTTCCCTGGTGTTTGAATCTGTAGCTTGATCTTCTTGTTTGCATGGCGAGCAGGCTACAGCCCAAACAGTGCTACAAACCAGACTATAGGTAACTTGTGCTTTTCTGAAATGGTAAATGATGGTGTGTATCTCAAAGTGTAGATGATGGAAAAAAAAAACCTGTCTGACAGGCCAAAAGTTGAGTGACTGGTGTCAGAAAAGCTAAAACAAAACCTGTTCTGCTGTGTTTGGGACTGTAGCGTTTTGGCCAAGCTGAGGATAGCATAGTTAGCCGGCCAAACATGCCACACCACAGCACAGGCTTAGTTCCAGCTAACTGATGCTAAAATGACATTTGTTTAGAGGATATATGAGAGTGTAAAGCTGAGTGACTGGTGTTAGAGTGAAATCTAATCTAATTTTTTTATTTGCCTGTTTAGATGAAGGATACAAATTTGACACATTGTAATTTTGATATACCACCATCATTTTTAAATTATACTTTTCTTCGTTATTTCACCCAACAATTTTTTTTTTGTTTACAAATTTCACACTTTGACTGTCAGTCGTATTAATGGTTCACAGTTGACACTTGACAATCATATTAGTCAGAAAAAACTGTAATTTTGATTTTAGCTATTTGAAATAAGTAATAGTATCAGTCACAAAATTTTCTCTTTTTTTTTTTGGTAGTTGATAGAGATGTTGACTGATTGATTGACAGTCAGCATATTTAACATGGATGTTCTTACTCCCTATACTGGCAGTAAAAAGGTACTGTGCGGGTACATTTTTCATTCATCAAGGTACACACTACGTAAATGAACCTATACAGTTACAACAGTGGTTTTAAGTTTTTTTCCATGGGCAAGGTACATATTTGTACCTTTTCATAACCTTATATTTTAAAACAGAACAATAAAAAGTCTGGACACAAGACAGGGTATATGGAGTCAGTACAATTTAAGAAATATAATTCTAATGACATATGGTACAATTAGGTTCCCTGACTAAAGCAGAAGATACACCCTTGAGTGTTCCAACACAGTGAGAGATCAGTCTATTTATTCCTGAGAGTGTACAAAGTATGCTAACAGTTTTTGGTCGTCATAAGCTGTATGTATATAGCAGTCTGTAGATAATTTGTCTAATTTGATGAAATCTGTGTCACAACTGGAGCCATTTTTTAAAGCACTTGTAAATATGGTTGTGGCTTCTCATCCGTAACTGCAGAGAAATTGTGCACTGCATGTGCTTCACTTTTTACCATTTTTTCTGGAATTTCTGAAGAACAAAGAATATTTAAAGGATATGATTCCTTTATAATTCAGAAATTGTTACATCAGTTAGTCAAATCCCACAATACAGAAGAGAGCTATCAAAGTGCTACTGCATCATACCATGTCCAGAGAACGTTTACAACATTGTATTCAGTCAGCATCGATGTGTGTATTAGTCATCAGTTAGGCCAGCACACTCTGGAACACAAAGCTTCTATGCAGAGCCGCATTTAAAACTGTGTTGCCAAAAGGTTATGGACAGTAACTGTCGATATTTTGTATTCTAGCACACAAAGAAATGACCATGATTTATTTTCAGAAATTCTTTCTTGCAGAAAGTGTCTGTCCGTGTGTGTGCTTATTTCTGACTAAAGCGCAGCGTAGTAAAATTAGATTTTATTTATTTAAGTGTTGCACTTCACTCAGATATGAGGCAAAAACAGAGTATGTAAGGAGAGGGAGATTAAAAGAAACAGGAAATGTATTAGTAGGCCTGCTTCAGTGGTAGCCGGGACGTTTTCTACCTTCAGAGCTTCAGTCCTTCTAGGAGTGACCTCATGCTTGTTTTGTAGAATTTCTAACCGTTCTTCAAGAGGATTAGACCCACGGTCAAGTTGAACTTTTAGGTGCAGGAGATGCAGGTCGAAGGCTTCCTTTGGCTTTCTCAAAATAAAAGCCTGTTTAGATGTTGCTGAAAACATAACTGATGAATCCTCAGGACATGTTGCTTCCTGAAAGTCTGAGCTTTTTATTTATTGCACAAAAATGGGTGACTTCTTTAACGTGTCTGGTTACCAAATGTGGTTTCCAAATTGCAGCCTTCATTAACAGCAGTGTGCATTATTTTGGTTGTGAGTCATGGACGTTGTATTCCTGGCCCTCATTTTCCACACAGATTTTCAGCTTTTATATTATTATGCAAAAATCACTACCTTTCATGTATTTAATTTCCAGTCAAAATGGCCAGTTATTCATTTTTTAGTGTCAGGAAAATAGGATAAAACATATATTAAGCAGGAAAATACTCAAAAACCTCAACAACTAAATATTATATAAAATAATTCCACCCTTACCTTTTATTACAGCTTTTGTTTTTGCTTTTTATTTTCAGGAGACTTGCCTTCTTTAAAGTTTTTTAAATAAATCTGCAGGAATATTTTTCCATATCTCCAAAGTTCAGTTTTGAAGTAGGTTGCATTTTCTGCTTCTCACAGTCAAAGTAATCCCAATTACAAATATACACTCATCAGTCCATAAAGAGAAAAATACATTTACACATCTCAGATGTCCAGTTTTGGTGTTCTGGTGCAAAGTTCTTTTTCTCACTAATGACTTCTTGACAGCTACACATCCTTTTAGACCCATAGTGTTGAGTTGTCTTCTCACAGTGGAAGAATGGACAGAATCACCTGTGGATTTTTTCAGATCTGAAGTAAGAGTGGAGCTTGATGTCTCTCAAAGATGAAGTTTTTAAGTACTGTTTATCTGATGGTGGTCTACAAGGTGTTACGCAGTTGTGTCCTTTCTCTTGTGCAAATGGATTATTATCTCCTGAAAAATAAATAATCTGAGATCTGAGATTTGGCCTTATCTCAGATGCTGTATTCCTGCATTACTGCTGGGTCACCTATTGCAGAACCCTGAGTGGTCCGTGCCTGCGTTGGGCGACCTTTGTAATGAAGATGGTTTGGGAAGAGGGATTGTTAATTCACATAACACATACATGTTAGATGTGAATGTTTCCCCCTACCCAAACACACTGTGCTTTTCCCTTCTTCATACTCATTTAGGGAAGTGTGTTAATGGCTGCTGGTTGACCTGATGCAATCATGGGCAGGTCAACCAGAGAACACTCTAGTATAGTAAAAGAACCACAAGATGATGTGTCAGTGTTTATTTGTTGTTTTTGTTTTTAAAACTCTCTAAATGTCTGATCTTTATAGCTGTCCTGGATACCTAATATGCCTTCTCTTCCTATAGTGTGGGAGGGAGAACTGCAGCCCTTTGCAGGTGCTCCAGTGCTGAGTCAGGATGTGGAGCAGCACCTTTACTCCTGACTAAAGGCCTAGCGCTCCAAGTTATTCAGTACTTTTTCTAGTGCCTAAACCTCCCCTTAGTTAACCACCTGTGGTTATAAATAACTACTAAATGGCAGGACAAAGAAATGTCACCTTCTCGATTATTAAATACTGAAAACCTGGACATGTGTGGCAACAATGTTGTTTTGTTATTGAATGTTGTTGATGTTTGTATCACTGCATCCTCCACTGTCTTATACTGAATGATGTAATTACTGAGATGGCCTTTGTGTTTTTTTTTTGTTTTGTTTTTTTTTTAGGGCAAGTACAAATAGGTGGAGAATTATATTGGCGGGTGGTTGATATACAAATATGTAAATATTAAAGTACAAGCCTAAAGTGGCCAGATAGGCTGATTAACTGTTGCACTTTTTAGCTGTTGATTTTTATAGTTTAGTAGTTCCCAGCTGATGAGGACAAAAACAGCTCATGCTCAAGTAAACAAACACTGCTCATTGCTGCCCTCTAAGGGTGTCACAAGAAAGACTTTCACTGTTTTTTGTAAGGCTCAAATAATTGATGATGAGGTGATCATGTAATACATATTTTATTTCTTTACTGATAAAATCACTATGATGTACTGTGGTCCACTATTGTTTTATATTGTAGTAAGGATGCTCTTTATGTGATATTTTTTTGCATTTCAGATATCACACAAGACAGTCACATGATCCAGCAACCATACTTTTGTTTGTTAAAAACTAATAACAAAATGGCAAAAGAACTGTCACTAGGAATGACTTTCTGACTGTGATGTTCGTCCTCTTTTCCTCTCTAGGCACGGGAGAGAGTGGCAAGAGCACGTTTATAAAACAAATGCGTATCATCCATGGCACTGGCTACACAGATGAAGACAAGCGGGGCTTCACCAAGCTGGTCTACCAGAACATCTTCACCTCTATGCAGGCTATGATCCGTGCCACTGAGACACTGAAAATTGGCTACAAGTACGAGCAGAACAAGGTGAGGGTTTGAAACAAATACTGTTCAAAACTGCTGAACTGATGCACTTCTGAGCTTACAGAACATCGTTAGCAATACATTTACATAACAGTAGCCATCAGCTATGATTGATCTAGGGCTGCACAATGTATGGTTTGAAGTATTTGGTGTTCACAGCACTGCAGAATACTGATATTGTGGAAAGTTGAAATGTGCAACTGAGCTGTCTAATCCATCACTAAATGTTTCATTATGTGATGTGAGCATGCTGACCAACCGCAGATGCTCTACGTGAGTTTCTATGGGTGTTTGGATGAATTAAAGCATTCATACGGCCCAACAAACTAAATCATTTTAATTACAAAAAATGATGTAGGCCAGTCTTTAACTACATCACATTAAAGATTCGCTAATGAGTTTTTTAGTATTTTGTAAGTTATATTATAATCACAGTATGTAGCGATGTAGTTTCAACGTGGTATTTTATCCATATCATGCAGCCTTACACTGAAAAAAGTGTAAATGTGTTCCACACAAATAAAATGTTACATCAACTTTAATGTAGTAAATTAACTACATACACGTTTAGTCAATGTGGTCACATTTGAATCATGTACATTTAAAGGCACATTTAAGTAACTTTTTTTTCAGTGTAGGTTAATTCGTTAGTCATTTCACAGTTGTCTGTGACAGTTGTTTGACCTACAGAGTGGGGGTCTCAAACTATCTGCCTGTGGGCCACATCTGAACCGTGAGACATATTTACAATGGCCTATAAATCTTTTCTCTTTATTTTTATTTGTATGTATGTATGTATGTATATTATTTATTTATTTATTTATGTGGCTAAACATTTACATCTGACAGGTGGATTTTATTCACCCACCAGTCACTGTGGCTGATAACTCAACGCAAGTTATATAAAGCTGAGGCTGATGCTTACAATATGGAAGACAAAAATAAAGCATTGCACACAAGTGGAACAATTCAAATGAAAACGTTGCGCATTGAGAAGGCTCGATTATAATTTAGTTATGACTAACTTAGCTGTTAATCTAATTTTAGATAGTTTTAGTCAAATCTGCTTTTGTGAATTCTTTCATGACGTAGGGTAGATACAGTATGCCATAATTAATAAATGAATGGAATTATCAAAGAAATCCACTAAGAGTGCAGATTTAGCGTCTCTTTTTCAACACATAACTCGCAGTAACTTCACTCACGGGCAGCAGGAATGCCAGTGACATCATAGAAAGAGTCTCAAATGATTTTGCTGTTAAATGTGGGTTTACTGGATTTCATTGTACACTAAAATATTTACAAAACATTCTGTGTATTACTACTGCTAACAACGACAACAACAACAACAATAATAATAGTAATAATAATAACAATTGTTGTAATTAGTACTAGTCGTGTGGTTTGTGGTGGCAGAAGAATTGCTTAAGCGCTTAAATGAGTGTATATGTTATATAGTTAAAATTCATTCTTAAACATTGTGGGGCATGTTTTCCCAGCATTTTTTTCAACCTGCCCCCCCTTGGAGAAGACTACCTAGCTAATGTCAACCAGGTAATTTAAGTTTGAGACCCCTGCCTCAGAGGGCATGCCAGACTGCTTTTATACCATATTTTTGTTATTATCATTATTATTTTAACATTCATGTTTAATCTACACCCAAGCAGAGAATGTTGACCTGAGTATTAACTCATGATCATACCAGCACCAGATTTTTATTACCAGCAATTGGTGTGTTGCCCATTCTTATCTGTTATTAAAAATAAAATAACCTATGAAGCATTATTAAGGCCACTGCAGTGCAAAAATAAAGCAAAGTTCAGTTACTTAAAGGTAGAGTTCAAGATTTTGTCACATTTTTTTTGTTTACACAGAAGTAGATAAACCACTCAGTAACATTTTGCTAAGCGCTCTGAAAATGTTTAAATTGATAAACATTAATGTAAATGCTTATATTAATATGTTAATATTTTCATTTTCAGTTAAACTTTAAACATTATAAAAGTATTTACATATTATAAAAGTATTTGAAACTTTTGGAATTTTTCCTGATCCATTCCCACTGGTTTCTTAGAAGCACAGAAACGCTATATAAAAGCTGTGCTTTATAATATGACAAAAGAAAATGTGGTGAGAGAAAACCATAAACAGGAAATGTCATCTCAGCTCGGCGAGAACAGCACTGAATCATTTAACTGTTTATTTTTTTCTATTTCCACCTACTGATAGAGAAGAGTGATGTAAGTACAGATGAGTGGATGCCATTTCAGCCACATGAGCTAGTGTTCTAGTCAAGAGCTAATGCCACAGTCACACTAGATATTTGCAGTTTGCATTGTTTTTAGATAAAAGCCGGACTAGCCAGGGCTAGTCCGGAGTTTGCGTTACTTTTAGGTCAGGGCGTGATCAGGGCTGGTCTGGAAGATTTGCTTTGAAAACAAGTCCTCCATGTTGGTGCAGTTAGCAAGGTAGCCAACTCACTAACCATAATGATACAACAGTAAACAAAATTAATTACGAGAGTATAATATTGCACACTGATCTGTATTTAAAAAAAATGTAGATAATTGACATGTTTGTTGGCAGTGGGGTGACTTGTGTGCAGCTTGTGAGCAAACATAAGCATTAGCAAGCTGGCTAACTCAACTACCATATACAGTAAAAACACAAAAGTGAACAAAATTGTAGTAGGTGATTATGTACTTACCACTGGTCTGTAGTCAAAAAAGAAAAAAAAAGATAACTGGCCTTGGTTGGTGGCAGTGGAGTGGCTTGTGTGCAGCTGTGGTTAGCCAAATAGCTAACATAGCCTTTGGCAAGCTGCCTAATTCGTCTACCACTAACAGTAAAATCACAGAAGTAAAAATAATAATACAGTCTCCTGAATGACTACATCATGCAGTTTATCCAGTTCTGCTCCTTCAGAGGTCTCCACACTCCAAAGCAGTAGTATTGTAGGTCAAGAACACAAAGTTAACCATAGCTACTTTTGATGCAAAATGTTGCGCATGGAACTCTATGACACGAATTCGCTCATTGCAGTGAATTCCATTAAAATGAATGTAATTTCACTGTCAGAAATTTGCTGGCAAATGCAGGTGAGAGTACATCAGTCCCAAGCAAACGTGCTTGTTATGAGCTAATATGTTAGTCCTGGGCTAATGCACTAGTGATGTTGTGTTGTTGCTCTCCTGATAGATAGCTTACCATACTGTGGAATTAATAGCAGGTTCTCAAAAGCAGCTGAACCTAGCAGTAAAGCTTTTATTAGCTGTATTTAATACTACTTTTCTTTTATTTTTTTATTAATTTTTTTTGCCAGTCTAGGACTAGTGTTTATGTAAAACATACATGACTAGCACATGTTTTATAGTATTCATTTCTGGTACTGTGACCAAAAGTCTGAAGAAAAAAAAAGAAAAATGATCATCTGTTCGTGGCTTCCATGTCAGGGACAGGAGTAAGGTGACTGTAAACAGGCACACTGATTTTAATTTGCCTTGCTTCTAAAAAATGTTTCTTCACAATTGTCACCGTGCACCAGTGGGCAGGGGAAAAATGATAGTAACTGATATTATTACGGTTTACCTTCCCCTTCTAGCAGTATAAAAGTACAAAAGTATTTGGATGAACAAGCATATTCAAAAAAAGGTTTTGAGGTGCTTGCCTGCATATCTTCTGCACAAAATAACATCCTAAAGTCTCTAGCAGTTAGGAATCTTTTCTTTTTTCTTGCTAGTGGCTTAAAATTTCAGTCTACAGGTGTGCGTCGATTCTAGAAGTTGCAGAGTTTTCCAGATGTTTCTTCTTATGGATTTTTCAGCTAGACAATAGAGTCCCCTTGACTTTGCCTACTTGTATTTACACTTCTCTGGTTCTTTTTGTTAGATATCAGCCACAGAGGCTAGAAGCAAACCCTATGATTAAAACTAGCCCGGTTGTGCATGCACTGTAAATTCACAATTTTACCCCATATCCTAAATGTAGATCAGCCACGACATGTTTGGTGTCCAAAGTTTGCATCTTTTGGTTTTGCACTGGTGCTATGAGGGTAATATAGCTAACAAGTTATGGATGCTTATACACCACCAATTAGCATCATTGAAAATGCATGTGTAAATCACACTTGCCTTAAACTGTTTAAAGTTATGTAACCTCAAATAAGCTGTATGTAGTTTCTGACACAGTGTGACATACTGTTATCTATAAAAATGGACAATGAAGTGTTCCATTTCTAAAACGATAAGCCAACTTAAAAGCATAATTTTTGTCTGTACTTTCGTCCAATTTAATGAAAAACAGCACTGAGGTGTTAGATACTGCTTTCTATGAAAATGATAAAAGTGGGACACAATGGGACAAAAGTGCAGACAAAAATTATTGACTAAATGGTGGGTAGGAGATACTTCTAGAGCTCACTGTAGACCCATAACGTACAGAGTTGTAGAGTAGTAAAAAGCTTGCATTATGTAGCCCATGCATTCTTTTATTAGAAAAGACACTATTTCTGCAAGCTCTGCAGTCTTTGCCACTTGCTTATAATGTCTCTTTTTCGTTTCCCCGTTATGTTGGTCACTTTTCTTCTTGTTCTATTCTCAATTTGTTAATCTCTGTAATATATGTGATTATAATCTTACTGCAGGCCAATGCCATGCTGGTGAAGGAGGTGGATATTGAGAAGGTGGCGTCATTTGACCAGCCCTACGTTAGTGCCATTAAGATGCTGTGGTCAGACCCAGGCATTCAGGAAGCCTATGACCGCCGCAGGGAGTACCAGCTTTCTGACTCCACCAAATAGTGAGTAGACATACTGCTAATGTGTAAGTTCATGCTGAATTTGAAGAGGGTCCTTTGTTATTTGTTTTCAATTTTGGTCAAAAAAATGCAGGCTAGCCTTTAACCTTGTTACATCAAAGTGTTTTTAATACATAACAAGGCATATTGCAGTTGAGCGTTTGCAAAATGTGACTGAGATGCTTCTCTGCCAATAAACTGTAAATGCTACTTCCTCCGTCTAGCAAAGGAAAAACCTACACAGAACTCATCAGAACAAACCTGCAGTGAGAACAGCGATGGCATTAAATTAGTAAGAGTTATTAGTCAAAGAAATGTTGGAAAGGTGTTACTGAGGAAAATATTATGCGGGGTGGTGCTGATTTTCTTTCATTCCTGAAGCTGAACAAGTTTTGGATTATACTAGGGCTGCAATCAATATTTGATGATGTTCAATAAATTTGTTAATAAAAATAATTTTAAAATGGAAAAGCCATTCAGATTACTGCCATGTTTACTACTTTCATGAACCCAGGTACATCTGTAAGGAAACAAATGTTTATCAAGCCAAATACTATCTTCTCACTAGTATCACGCAGCTACCAGCTCTTCACATCGGACTCAATGCAGACTCCTTGTGACTTGGCACAGCTTGCGAGACTTACCATTCTAGGCAACAGTTTCAATTTCAACTCCTGGTGCAGTACAAATAAGTTTCCCACACTTCCGGATTGCTAGCTAGCTAGCAGGCTTTTGATTTTGTTTATTACTGAGAATAAACAAGAGCTTACCAGCTAGCTAGCTGTTCAGTGTTGTAGGACAATTATTCAGACTGCAGTAGCTGTTAAAGCTGACGTGGCTTCAAAATTTGATAGTCCCCCGTTCACTGACAAAAGTTCGCCAAAAAGTTGGTTTCATTTTTTTAAGGCAGTGGTTAAAAAGACGTTGTTCCTTTTCTAAGGCACCGCCCACTGCTGTTCAGAGCCAGATCAGGGTTGCCAGATTGGGTAGTATCAGCAATTTACTATGAAATAAATTTTTTGATGGTAAGGTTTTAAATTACCATGTAAAGTTTGTTACGTTTATCAGAAATATACATATATATTAAAATAACTTCATGCAATACTTATAATAATAATAATAATTTTAATATTACCAACAATAAGAAAATTCTATTCAGTTATTCAAACGAAACAACTTTAAACTTTATCTAAGCTACTGTATTTGCCAGAAATCATTTTAATAAGATGTCTAATGATAATGTTAAAAAGTTGGCTTTTCTTAACTTAAATAGTAGCACTTAGCTTTAAAAATCAGTCAGGTTGAACAGAACAGCACAGCACTCAAATTTGTGATATAAATGTTCTCTGTAAAAATAAGCAATAATGCACTCATCCACAGGCTTTGGTTTTGTTTTTTTGTTTTTTTTTTGGCATAGTTTCATTTCATTTCATTGAACTAAAAGACCTCATGTACAAGATGAATTCAAGATTAGCTGCATTACCTTTAGCATTAGTCTTTCTGAAGGTGTAGCTTCCTTTGCTGAAACCTCCTCCTCATTAGACATGTAAATATGCCACTTTAACAGTGACTGGCTAAACGACAAATGTACTCCTCCGTGTGCTTCTAAAGATACTTTTGTACTATGGAAGAACCAGTAAGCCTGAGCTAAAATGGCAACAATAACTAAGGGAGGCAGATCTTGTCAGAATTTTGCAAACGGTCCATTTCAATTTGTAGCATATTTCTAGTATGTTTTCAGTAATGTCCATTTTGTCCATATCATGCAGCCCCAGTGTTTGTGAGAGATGTGAATGGTTAGACTTTTTCTTGTCAGTGAGTGAGTGAGTGAGTGAGTGGGTGGGTGGGAGAGTGGGTGGGGTCGGGTTCATTCAGTTCAAATGTAAAGTTAAACTACTGTTTTTGTATCTGTTTCATTATATTTATAAATCAATCTATCAACCTCTATTTAAACTCAGAGTACATTTAGGGTGACCCTCATTTACAGTGTAGCCAAGCCAATCAGAAATCAGAGATTGAAAGGAAAAAAACTGGATTGTGAAAATGCTAAAAATAGTAATCATAATACTATATTTAATTGTAAAAAAAAATCAATAAACCATTAAAATTGCAAAGATAAAGTAACTTAATAAACAACAGATCAAATAGGGATAAAAAAACAGTTAATAAAATAAAGGAATAGAAGATGTAAAACAATAAATTGGCACTAGCTAAGAAGTCAAAGTTGATAATAAAATGAATTAAAAGAATAAGAAAAGTGACACAATAACTAAAACCAAAATCATATTTGAAAGTAAACTAACAATGAATAAAACAGTGAATGAAAGTGAGAGAGATTCAAACTATATGGACCCATTCAAGGTTAATGTAATTGAACTGTTATGGTTGTTCTGAATGGTTTCTAACCTGTGGGTCTCTGAACCCACATGACCTTATGTAAAGACTCTATCAGTGGAGAGTTTTGTCCTAGAATGCTCCTTTTTTAATTGGCACACTCAAAGCAAGAAGAATCTCAGATAAAGCCCTTGAGCCTTGCATCTGAAAGTAGCATTGATTCGGCTGAAGCGGGACGCTAATGAGTGTTTGCAATGAAACATAGATGAATTCATGGGTAGTCCTGATTTCCTCTGAATGAGTTTGCCGGGTCACAGACCTGCAACTTATAATCAGCAAATGCATGAGGCATTGTTGGAGAGAGCTGAGAATTACACAGAACAGTGCCCCCTGCTTGTATGAACAGGTATTACATGCAAGTGATTGATTTAACTTGGCGCTGTAGAGGCCTAAGAGGCAATTGTTTTGGCCAATTATCGTTAGGGCTGGGCATTTATATATATATATATATGATATACACAAACAATTAAAAATGAAACAAAAGAGTAGTGTTATCTTTGTTACTATCTAGTATGTTACTATCTATTTTAGCTTTAATTTAATTTTATCCAACTAACAATCCAACTCTATATGTTGGTGTGTTTTAGAACAGTCAGCTAGTTATCAAATAGTGCAGACATTCATTTAAGGGGTAGTGAAACTAGCTGCTGAACTAACTGCTGCAGTTTCTAAAAAGAAACATGATTATCATTCAGTAGCTGACATGTTTTTCAGGTGTGTGTGTGGGAGGGGTGGGTGTTTGGGAGAGGGAGGGGCTGGGTAAGATTTTGTTTGTTATATTGCCCTTCATCCTGCAGTTACCTAACTGATCTTGAGCGCGTCACAGCCTCAGGGTACGTCCCCACTCAGCAGGACGTCCTGCGGGTGCGTGTGCCCACCACGGGCATCATAGAGTACCCCTTTGACCTGGAGAATGTCATCTTCAGGTACCAGTGCTGGAGCCCACAAAGTGCTGAAGTACTGCTGCAGTGTACAGTCTCTGTCTCTTAAACACACACTGCACACACTGTCTAAAGACTGCTAACGTTTATTAGTGTGTCCATACTGCGGCCTCTCTGGGACTGGCCATGATATAAGAATGACTGTGACCTAGAATTTAAGACCCAAACTGAATGAATGGTTAACAGCACAGGTGTGTTTAGCGCTCTTGTAAGAGTTTTGTTTTCTTCTCTTCTCTTTACTTTTCTTTTGTTATAAACCCCTTAATCTTCAGGAACCTGTTAGTTTTTTTAAAATAAAGTCTGTTACACTACGTCAACCCTGTTTAACTTTCATAAAGTGCAATTCACTCCACATTCCATATATGTGGTGTGTGTGTGTGTGTGTGTGTGTGTGTGTACACGTTCGGCTCAAACGCTGTAAAGATGTGAGGTAACAGTTTGCACTCCTTTTTTTGGGTAGATTTCATCCTATATTTTAACTAAAGAGTACCTAAACTTAACAGTTGTGACACACTATAATAAATAAGGTAAAATCTACCTAATATTTCTCAAGAAATTACACAACTATTTATTAAAAAAAACAATCATGATGGTTAGTAGGCAATTCTTCATCTACTTAATAATTCTTATTATTAATTTATCAGTATGACTAATAGGGAAGGTTAGTTCATTTTCACACACAGGCGATGATATTGATCATGTCAATTTTTTTGACTGCTGTTCAGAAAGTATTGCTCAAAAAATAAAGAAAGGAGGTCTAACCACCCTTTCATGTTGCAGTTATAACAGCCTCTTTTTCAATACTTTTTTAAACATTCCCATACCAGCTTTAACTCAAAACTCAGAAATGTGTGACACCAGCATTACACAAGTGGCCACTCACAGCAGAAGGGCAGAAAGAACTCACTCCGCCTCCACTAGGTTAGCCTCAGTGTGCTAATCAGTGCATATTGTTTTTGAGAAGTTTGAACATTAAGTACATACATTTTTTGAGTAATTACTTTGTCCAGCTATAAGCTTTGGTGTAGGACCGTGGTGTATCACCATTTTTACTGTTGGTAGCTAGCTTGCTGTCAGAGTAAAGTGATAACTATCAGTGGTCACATATAACAGATGGAGTAGTCGGCAACCTTAAATCCAGCAAATTGAAGGCTGTTTTTGAAGTATTAAGTATTTCGCTTCTGTGGCTTGTAAAAAGCTTTGTCCACCACTCTTTTTGTGTTTGAAAAGGCTGCAGTGATGTCTGGGCAAGTTCTGCTGCTGAAGTTGACACTTGGGTTCACTTGATACCTTGCTCCTCTGAAGGCTCATATAATAAACTTCATAAAAGTAATGGATTGGGCCCTGGTGAGGCAAAGTGGACGAAGGCTTGTTAAAACCAGTGTTAAAACAACCAGAAGGAGCGTTTCTCCTCGAACAATTTTTTAATACAATACAGACAACCAATTAGAACCCATATTAGTCTTAAAGGGTCAGTAACAAAAACAGCCTTTTGAATTCTAAGGGATAAAGAAGGGTTGTAAAATTGTCACGTAAAAAAGTTTTTGTCTACATAAAAAACACAAAAATGTCATATAACAGGTAAGAAAAGAATATGGACCCTTTCATTGTTTTCTGTTCAGTAACTACATAGAAATCAGCTGTATGTGCAGATGTGAAGAAGCTTAAGGGGTTTTAAATGATGCAGCGATGCTTTGTGAGTAAAAATCTCTCGTTCAGTGTGAGACATGAAATACTCAAAAGATGCTTTTGTAAGAGCACACTGGCCGGACCCAGAGAGCTTCCAGTGGGGTGCAGCTCCAAATCTGAGAAACCCTGTGGTGGTGTGATGGATACTAACAACACCCCTGCACCTCTCAGTAGGAATGACCCAACACAGAGGCCTTTAACACTTGACTGAACCACTGGCTTGTGAAATGGAAGGGAGTAACTTCTGTTAATGTTATCACTATCAGTCTTTATTATATTGTTGTCTCTCTCTCTTTCTCTCTGTATCTCTTTCTCTCTGTCTGTCTGTCTGTCTGTCTGTCTGTCTTTCTCTCTCTGTCTGTTTGTCTATCTCTCTCTAGCTATCTATCCGATCTGGATCGTATTGCTGAACCATCCTATCTACCCACCCAGCAGGATGTGCTTAGGGTTCGAATCCCAACCACAGGGATCATTGAGTACCCTTTCGACTTGCAAAGCATCATTTTCAGGTAGAAGACACTCTATCTCTTGCCTCGCTCTTGCCTCGGTGTTGGTACTGACAAGGGATTTGAAATGACTTTTGTCCATCAATACAAGTACCTTGGGGTTTCAGTCTTTGAATCGCACCCTTGTGATATCAGTTTTGTCCAAAAGTTTTGTGACCTAAAAAGATCAAATTGTACCCCAGCGTCAATAAAAGCTGTCTTGGCTGTCAATCTATTGATTTTCCTTTATCTTGAGTTATGAAAACCAGCCCACAAACCTTTTTCAGCTATTGTCTAGCAAGAGAAGCAAGGCTCCCTGGGTTTCACTTTTTAGATGGCTTTTTTGGAGAGAGGCAGATGGATGAGATATATCTGTCTGAAGGTCCATATAAGACGTGCAGCTGATATGCTAATTAAACCAAACGTGCGAGAGAGGCTTTATTGTTTGGAGATATTGATTCATCAAATGATGGCCATCAGCTCTCTTTTTCTCACACTCTCAATAGTATCGTAGGTCTTTTCTCAAGATCAAGAGTGTTCATAACAAAACAAGTTCATAAACCTCATTCTCCTTCTTTTTTCTTTGTCTCTTTCTCTTTCACTCTCTCCTCCTTTCTTTCTCTTGCTCCCTTGTTCCTTCTCTTCTTTATTTTCTCTCTGTTCTTTTTTTTCTCCATTATTTTTCTCGTTTTCTGCTGGTCATTCTCCGCCATCTTTCTTCAGACCTGAACGAGATTTGTGACATTGTTTCACTCACAGTGGAACATAAACTTGGCTTTGCACTTATAAAACAATTGAATTTACTATGAAAACACACAGCTAAACAAAGATTTAAAAAAGTTCACAAGTTCACAAAAGTACTTGCCTCCAGATCATCGCTGCTGTCAACAGAAATCCTATCATGTCTTGAATATCTTAGTCTTTCTGGAGCACTGATCATAGAAAGAGGTGTGTAAATGTGTAATATTATACACATGAACTATCTAACCAACTAAAATGTAGTTTGTGATAAAAGTCCTACATTACATTGTTACATTAATGTGCCTTCAGAGCCGTTACAAGGAAATTTTATACTGTGGAGGGCACTGTGGAGTCTAGAAGAAGAAAAATTCCCACTGCGCATGCTTTAGTGCGTGTGCAAAGCAAAAATAGGACGCTAAGTTATCAGTTGTAATTTCAGACATAAATTCAACATGAGGCTGATGATAATTGCGTTTTTTTCAGATATTGGTGAATAATATATGGTCCACTGATATATCATGCATCCGTAATTTTCTGCCTGGCTTTCTCCTCCTTCCTTCTTTTCTCTGTTTCTTCTTTTCTTTTTTTATCTTTCTCTCCCCTGCCTTTCATTCTCCTCTGTTTTTCCCTCTTCATCTTTTTTCTGCCATTGTCTTTCTCTCCCCCACTCTCCTTCTCATAGCACCTTCTCCTTCTTCTCTCCGTCTTTTTCTTCTTTTCTGTCATTCTCCTTTCTCCTTTTCTCTCTTTCTTTCTCCCCATCATTGTTCTCTCTCTCTCTCTCTCTCTCTCTCTCTCTCTTTCTTTCTCTCTCTCTCTCTCTCTCCACTCCCTGCCTCCCTACGTTCCGTGTACGTTCTGAAGTTTTGCCGGAGCGACCGTGGCGGCTCGTCCTACATTAAAGAGCCCGTGCATGTTTGGAAGTAGGTCAGCGAGCCCCCGGCTGAAGGAAATGAGGACGGCAATGTGAAGGAGCTTTATTTTAGGCAGGCTCTCCTAGAGGGCCTCATTTATCAAAGGCCCCTCTGTGGGCTGCTGGCTCAGGACTGAAGCAGCACGGGGGCGCTGTCCGCCCCAAAATTCACCCTGCACTCAGCCACCACACCAGCCTCTAACGCCATCTATCTCTTTGTCCGTTCCTCGCGCTTGTTTAACCCTTAGAAGAACAAAATATGTTCTTATTAATTATTGTTAATAATAATTAAGTTAATTTTTGCCACGTTTTTGCCATTCTTCGACATTAAAATCAGAAATGTAGATGTGAAACTCTCAATACAGAAAGTACATTGAACCTAAATGTAATTCTGTAATGCTCTATGTAATTACTTATATAATTACATGAAAATAGTATAACAAACTGATACTAATAAACCTAGACTTAGAAAGGTTAACCTTACTGTGAACCAGTTCCAAGAAGCATAGCTAAATAAGTTGTGATTAAAAGATCAGTTCTGTTGGAGTTCTCAATAACTGTGGAGGCTGGGATTGATTTGAGATATTGCCTAGATTTGTTTAGTTTAAGATTTTGATAAACTTCAATCTGGAATCCGCATTAAAAAAGTAGTCCGCTTTCTTGCTTACACTTACACAAAGATACTAGCAGACATATTCTGCAGCATATTTGAATGAATTCTTTAACTGGCTAAAGGCCTCTCATGTGGCAGACACTGGAAGAAGTAGTTCATTGTAAGGTCAATTCAAGAGGCTCTTTTTTTTCCTGCTTTTTTTCCAAAGTAGTGTCCTCATTTTGTTACTACCATAATAAAGAAGTATAAATTAAGCCTCATCTTCCCAAAATCCTTTCTGCTTCTTCATGTTCTCAATCAAAATTTGTCCCATTAGTTTGTTATACCCTATTTATTGTGAATGGACAGCTTCTTAAGGACCAAGAAGTTGTTTTTTCTTTTTTGTTTTTCTCCTATCCTCACAAATATCCTTCTTTCTTATTGCCTTTCTCTTTCTTGCTCTCTTTCCTCTCCCTCATTAGAGCTGCACCATATCACGTCACTGCTTGGCTTGTGCTGTGAATTGAACACTCACTGGGGATCATGAGAGCATGTTGCCATGTTTTGGGGGGTAGGGGGGTGCATGTTTCGTAGTGGTGTGTATATATATTGGTAGCAACACAAGTGACCTCAGAAAACTCTTAACTCCCTCATAGTTACCCAAAAGAAGGTCCTCTGAGGGAGTTACGCCACAGATTTGGTTTGACTTCACTTATGGAGAAGTTGCCTCTGAACTGATTGACATTGACACTTAATTTGTGAATTTACACAATTGTCACTTTATTCCAAATGTAGTTGGTCAGACAAGACCTGTTTGGAGTCTGAAGTTTGCTTCTGTAAGTTTTCCACTAAAACTGCATGGCTATTTGGGCTAATGTAACGTAAGCTTAGCGTTCCATTGAATACTGTATGATATGCTGTCATTGTATGATATATTCTTATCTATAAAAATGGGCAACAGTATGTTGCATGGCTAAAAACAATAGTAGCAGCCGTCTTGAAGCCTGTTTTTTATCCATAGGCAACAGCATGTCATAGTGTCAGAAATCTCATAAATCTATGTGAGACTACTTCGTAACTTTGTCTGGGCATGCATGGTAGTTTATGGTATGGTAGCTTTCATGTATTACCTACATTAGCTTTTAATCGCAGTGCAAAACTAAAGAAGTTAACTCTGGACAAACACCAAACATGTCTTGGCTGCTACATTTTTGATTAAGGACCTCAACATTATGTTCTAGTGATCAGAGGCTGCTTCTGTCCATTTGTGAAAGAAATACATTGGCTCACAAGACAAAATCTTACTGTTCAGTTCCAGTTTACAGATGTAAGATTTGGACCTTCTGTGTGATTTAACCGTTATTAGAATTATTCTATTATTCCATATCATTTAAATCTATTAATGAAAATTGTTTATATTCATTGTTTCTCTTCTCCTGATCCATCCTCTCACTCTCAGAATGGTGGATGTGGGGGGACAGAGGTCCGAGCGCAGGAAGTGGATCCACTGTTTCGAGAATGTGACGTCCATCATGTTTCTGGTGGCACTGAGCGAATATGACCAGGTTTTAGTCGAGTCTGACAATGAGGTGAGGAATTCAGGAATACAAATACAAGACTGATGATGGTGGTTCTGTATAACGGCAGCTTTTCTCATCAACTGGTAGCTGTTCTTATTTCATAACTACCCTTGAAACATAAGGTTTCAGAACAAAACTCTTGACCAATCACTTGTGCTGGTCACAACCAAGAAATGTACCAGGACATTCATTTTTCTGTCTCCAGCACATGACAGGTGCCCATTACATGATCAGTGACCAGTAATAAGAAATGGTCCAAAACTATTTTGCTGTTCCAGCAGCGTTAATATATTGGGCTGCATGTGTATGTACTGTGGGAGGTAGTATCTGCCCTGTTTGAAGTATGTTTGTAGAAAAGCAAGTTCAATTCAGTAGTATTTGCAAGGTAAACACTATTGGAATTGGCAGATTTTTGCAGAGCAAGTTTATTTGACTTTATTTTAATTATGCTGTATTTGAATGTTGCTGCACCACCTGTACCAAAATAATTATGCGTAACACTTTTGTGCTAAATAGCCAGTTGCCTCTTACAGTCAATGTAGCACTTTACTTTATTCATGTTATAAATAGGCAACTTATTTTGCATTGGCCATGTAAAGACCAAAAAATGTTACTTATATTGTGACTTTGGCCAATAGAAGGTGCTAGAAATTTACTAGTGTGTTTCATGTGTTCATTAAGCCCCCTGAGTATGAGCTTTGTATTTAGAATAAAAAAAGCCAAATAAAAACCGGCCAATTTGGCTGTAAAGAAATCAGAAACGGTCATAAAAATTCATTATTAGTGCATTCCTATTATTAGCCTCGCGCTGCTGGTCGCTGTGGGGTGGTTTGCAATTTTTGATAGTTATGTTGGAACCCAGTGGTAGTTAATTTCGTTCCTTCTTGAAATGTTGCCAACACAATCAGTACTAATGAGGACCAATTCTTTTTTTCCATTTTTCCCTCTAGAATCGTATGGAGGAGAGTAAGGCCCTTTTCAGGACGATAATCACATATCCCTGGTTCCAGAACTCCTCGGTCATCCTTTTCCTCAATAAGAAAGACCTCTTGGAGGAGAAGATCGCCTACTCTCACTTGGTCGACTACTTTCCGGAGTTTGATGGTACATTTTTTTTTTTCCCCCAAATGAAACAGTTTAAAGGTTTATGATAAGTCAGTGATTCTGAACTCTGGTCCTGGAGTACCCCTGTCCTGCACATTTTAATGCATAGTAACAAATTTTAACTCAAGATTCTTTCGTTAAGCATAAGTAGGTGTGATACTCAAGCTTTGCTCCTATGCTTTAAAGTGTTTTCTCACCTGGGTAACATTCACAAAGAGGTTTTAAATTTCAGCTTCAGTTTGTTTTAGCCCTTTTGAAATTAGACACCGAAGCAAGGAAACCAGCTGATCTCTGGTATATTTCCTGTAAGCTACAGTGTAGTTAGTGAGAAAGCAGTCTGCACTGTTCTAAGGAACCAAACCCATTGATTGTTGTGGTTTTTAGAAACCAACAAAAATCCATTTAAACACAAGCTGAAAGGCATCACGTGTAACATCATGTGAACTGTATCAAACTAGGGTGGGTGATATGGTGAAAATGTAATATTACATATGTCAAACCTTGTGAAACATTGTTGGAACTAACAAAAAACCCAGTGGCGCCACATTTAAAAGTTGCTATCCAAAATTGAGTTTCACATACTATAGTACACTAAATCTAAATAAATAGAACTAATTTTGTCCTTTTTGTAATAAAACATGCAGGTGATCAGTGTTCTTTACAGTCCTAGGGAACACAGAGTAAAATATCAAAAATGTTTGTACGATACTAAACTTGAGCGTTATATTAAACATCCAGCAAAGATTAAATTACAAATATATAACATAAATGTGATAAAACATGACTTAAAAACCGCTGATCAGCCCTGTCTGAGAACTGTGTGGGTGTGGCTAATGAGCAGCTTGTTAGACAGCTCTCTGTCCAGCAGTTCATGCCTGCATCGCCACTCATACAGAACTAAAATCATAATCCAGCTTTTCTGTGATGGTAACTAGATGAAAAAAGTCACTGATGAACAGATGTTCAGAAGGATGGACAAATGAACAAACGGACAGATGAAGGAATGAACGAACAGATGTGCAGACGAATGGTGAACAAACGATGAACAGTGTTCGTGTAGGATAATTGAATGAATGGGTGACAGGCAGCTACAGAGAGGTGGTCTAGCTTGCTAGCTTTTGGTTATGCTGGGTTAGCTTCAGCTCACTAAGTTTCTCTAATTAGGATTGCCCAGTTTACATTGAGAGGAGAGAAATATGGTGAAATACACTGATCAGGCATAACATTATGACCACCTCCTTGTTTCTACGCTCATTGTCCATTTTATCATCTCCACTTACTATATACACTGACGTGGTGGTGGTGTGTTAGTGTGTGTTGTGCTGGTATGAGTGGATCAGACACAGCAGTGCTCATTGTCCGTTCTATTAGACACTCCTACCTTGTCAGTCCCCCTTGTAGATGTAAAGTCAGAGACGACAGCTCATCTGCTGCTGCACAGTTTGTGTTGGTCATCCTCTAGTCCTTCATCAGTGGTCACAGGACGCTGCCCACAGGACGCTCTTGCCTGGATATTTTTGGTTGTTGGACTGTTCTCAGTCCAGCAGTGACACTGAGGTGTTTAAAACTCCAGCAGCACTGCTGTGTCTGATCCACTCAGACCAGCACAACACACACTAACACACCACCACCACATCAGAGTTACTGCAGTGCTGAGAATGATCCACCACCCAAATAGTACCTGCTCTGCGAGGGTCCATGGGGGTCCTGACCACTGACGAACAAGGTAAAAGGGGGCTAACAAAGTATGCAGAGAAATAGATGGACTACAGTCTGTAATTGTAGAACTACAAAGTGCACCTATATAGTAAGTGGAGCTGATAAAATGGACAGTGAGCGTAGAAACAAGGAGGTCATAATGTTATGCCTGATCGGTGTATATCAGCAATTTATTAATCATTGGAACATTATTTAAAGGGCACACTTAGTACATGTTTATTGTTTGCCTGCAAGAAAAAGATTGACCTAATTAGAAAGAAAATTTAGGTTGCCTAGGTCTTTTAAATACTGCCAATATCCACAGTATGCTGAGAAGAACATATTGTGACATTTTAATCATCATCTTGATAGATTATCGTCAAATTGCTCAGCCCTATATCAGATTATTCTGGCTAAACTCTGACTGAAATAGGTATTTGGCAAGTGCAAAGTTGTATGCATCAGTATCACTTGATGCATGATTGTACCTTGTTGTAGGAGGGAAAAAAAAACTAAACTAATAATAATATTATGGGATGCATTTCACCTGAAGAATAATTTTTCACCAAATTAACCATATGAAATCGATCGGTATTCTTGTTTGAAGTTACAGTAGTTTTATTGGCCGATAAAATAACATGAAAATCAAAAATGTTTTGGTTTTTTTTTTTCAATAAAATGACTACGCCCCTCTTTCTCAATATGGTCGTAGCAGCAAAGTCTGGTTGATATGTTGGTACTAGGTGGTAATGTGGGCCTTTTACACATTAAGGGAGGGAAAGAAGTCAAGCCATTAGGGCTGCAACTAAAGATTATTTCTATTATTAATGGATCTAGCAACTCTTATTCAGTTAATGGACTAAGTGAATCATGCATTCTGCAACCATCATTCGAATTTCTGACAGGCAGTTTCTTATTTTATGGTTCATTGAAACAAAAGAAGCCATATCACCCCCAGTGCTTCCTGTAGTGTACTGCAATCCTGTAATAAGACCACATGTATCTCATGAACATTATTGAGCATTACATAATAAGTTAACTCAATTTCTTCCCATAATTGACGATGTTGATGACTGATCAAGTTTATTTACTATGTTGTGATGATTTTATTGATCTTGATTATTATTTGTGACTTTTCTCCTGCAGGTCCTCAGCGAGACGCACAGGCTGCAAGGGAGTTCATCCTCAAGATGTTTGTGGACCTGAACCCAGACAGCGACAAAATCATCTACTCGCACTTCACCTGTGCCACGGACACGGAGAACATCCGCTTCGTCTTTGCCGCTGTGAAGGACACCATCCTGCAGCTCAACCTGAAAGAGTACAACTTGGTGTGAGCCGCCGCCAGGCGCTAAACACACCCTTCAGCACAGAACAGGCACCTACAGAGTGTGCGCACACTTACACATTTTCCACATGGCTCAGATACATACACACTAATATATACATGTTCAACTACCCACGGCCCATCCTGTTTTCCAACCTTATGGGTTTTCTTCCCCTCTTTTCGTCCATCTCTGCGAGGGTATTACACGTTTCCTGCTTACACACTGGCCATCTCCTGGTTTTGCCAAAGTCTGTCCACTTCTCTTGTTGGCAGCTCAAGTCAAAGGCCTCCATCCCTTTCCTCGAGTTTGACCGTGAGGATTTTTGACCTTTACAGATTTGATGAGGGGGGTGGGGTTATAGGCTGTGACTTGTTTTGATCATTATACATTTTGAAAAAGTAAAAAAAATAAATGAATAAACATGAAGGGTTTTGAAGTGGCGGAATTGGTCAGGCAGGGATGGCTGTAGCAACAGCATGGATGCAGGTTGGCAGGTGCGTTTTATGGACTAAACGCACAAAGATACACCGACATGGAAACTGGAAGTGATGTCCCTCACCCTTTCCTTTTCAGTCACATCCACCAAGCGCATCTCATGTGTTTTGCCTGGATTGATTGATGCATTTTTGATTTTGACCATCCTGCAAAAAAAGAAAAAATAAATAAAATCACATCATATTTACACACTTGTACATGGACACAAGGACAAGTGCTGTGGTGCCAGAAGTAACGAAGGATCCATTAGATCCCTCTAGAATCAGGAGGATTCCGGTGGATTCTCAAATCCGGGGGGTGGGGGGAGATTCCAGCTGGGTTGCACTGGTGGTGTGAAGAATTATTCCTCACAAAGATGAGGTGATCTCACCGAGGCTAGTCTTCAACTTGCATCGATGAATGTAAACTGAAGTGTGAGCATCACAATTGCAAAAAAAAGAAGAAGAAAATGAACGAAAGCAGAATGCACGTTCAAGTGAAATGATACAACGCACGAAAGAGTTGAAACAAATCAAATTAATGTGTACAGTGCTGAGATGATCGAAAGAAAAAAGAAACTTTTAATGATAAGTATGTATACTTCTGTCGCTACCAGATGAATTATAACAGCAACTGAATCAATGATGGGTATAAAATCAGAAATTTTAAAGATTTATCAGTGTGTAAAACAGATATTGACAGGATTATATTCACACAGTAGGTATTGTTTTGCAGATTTCCACACGAGTTTTTAAGATGGTTGCATCGCTTCTTTCCCCATTTATGTTCTTAAGTGTTTTCCATAGTGACTGCTTCCTCCCTCCTTGCCTTGTCCAACTTTTTTGCATTATTTAGCATCAGTTGTCGGCTTAGTTCTGATGTAATGGTTACGTGGGCTCCTGCTGGTACCATACTCCGTATTTCCGCGAGTATGCTCTTCACTTACAGATACTTCATCAATTCAATTGGTTGAATTCTGGATTATCTGATATCACCAACTAGTGGCCCTGACGCACACAATCTTTCGTTTGTTTACGTCTTTTTTTTAAATTGCAGAGACATCATCTTATTGATTAATAAGAGTTTGTGGAGACATAGGTTAATTTAGCTTTGGGTTGGGAGGTAGTGTTAAAGTGAAGGGGGGGCAGGAAGTCGTAAATGCGCTGAAGTTAATTGATTGTGTATATTTATATTTGTAAATACGTATACACATTATTGCTTATGTAAGTCTGTGGTACACTATCTTTGGCAAAAAGGAAAAAAATCCACTCTTTGTAATTGTGTACGGTTTTGGTTGGTTTCTTATGAATTACAATATTATTGATACTGTGATTACTTTTTTTTTTCCTCTTAACTATGATTATTCACGGCACGTAGCTGTATAACGGTAACGTGTGGATGACAAAAAGTGGTTATGAGCAATAGTCTGAGAAATTCTAAAGCAGCACGTCACCGTAGGGAAACTTCCAAAATGTTTCTCGCTCTGGTGTCTCACTCAAGAGACAAGTACAGCTCCTCTCAATGGTGTGAATGTTATTACTCACAATATATTAAACAAGTAATTTTTAAGAGGAAAAAGATGAGTAACTGAAGTAAATAAAGGATGGTTTATTTATCTAATTTATGGACCAGATTTGAAGTTGTTAGGGTCTTTTCTGCTGTATAAAACTCTGGATGGATGAAACTATCAGCTTTTATCGTATTTTATTTTTTTGATTTTCCCCCACATTTTCCCTTAAAACAAGAACATTTGTTGACATGTTTTCACAATATATTATTATATAGTATCCAGGTTTCTTTTTTTTTTTTTAACTTGTGTCTTTTGGATTTTCAAATTTCCTTGAGATATTTAAGTGACATGCTTAAAACATAGGAAAATGTATCATATGAAAGAGGACCGCCTTTTATCAGTGATAGAAGATATGCCTGGTCTAAGCTTACAACCAGACAAGTAGTGACTTGATATATTTTGTTTCTTTTTTTAAAACATGGTTTGTGTTCACCATTGTGTAAGTTATGCGCTGGTAGAGAATTGGGGGGAAGAAGTGTTTTGAAGTTTTAAATTTTATACAGGTTACCTTTTCATTCTTTCATCAAGGGCTAAGATAATACATAGAATCCTCACAGACCAGGCAAAGAGAAGAACTAGGGGTTGAAGTTGAAGGATAAGAATACAGTTAAGAGACTGAGGATCAGTTTAATCAGCCACTAATTGGTCATTTGAGACCACACGCTGTCAGATTCAGCTTCATTGCTCTGGCTCTGAAATGGTTGATGATTGGCCTTCTACACACTTTATTATAGAGTATTTCCAAAGGGTTAAGGTACACACTTTCTTCCCACCTTTTTACTTTATGGATACAATAGCTACAGGAATGTAACAAGTCAGTATTTTGGTTAGATCTCAAAATGTCCTCCAGGTTATGGAACCCACTAGTGGAACAGCGTAGACAGGATAATACTCTAAGTAGCCAAAGGATAAGTGTCACTTCGGTTTACTAAATACTGAAATGTACGAATCAAGCTGGTTTTTGCGTAAATTATGTCCCTTGTTGTGTATCTGTTCAGTTTCGATTTGTGGATTAAGAAGACCATTTTGCTTTTTAATTAGTGATGACAATGTGGATGGAGGTCTCACGATGATAACACTATGACTATGTATTAGGATTGATGATTGTTGAAGTTTGGAAGCTGTTGATTATAGAGGATGTACATGCTTGTCCTTTGAGGGGGACACTTTCTTATGATGTGTAATGGTCTGATTTTATTTTATATGCACTTTCTTATTTATATATATATATATATATATATATATATATATATATATATATATATATGTGTGTATATGTATATATGTGTGTGTATATGTATATATATGTGTGTATATATATATATACACACACACACACACACATATATATATATATATATATATATATATATAAATATAAATATAAATATATATATATATATTAGTCCTTCTCATGCCACAGTCAGGAACAGCTTCTGATTCCCATAGCTACTGCTAGTGTCTTTGACCTGTTGCATGCACGTGCACATATCAGTTTGCCATCATCATAGCTGTAGAAAAGTTTGTTTGTTTTGGTTTTTTTTTATTTGTATTTGTTCCAAAGGTGTTTGTCTGCCCATCGTCCCTAGGAGAATGTCTACCTCTATGTGAATAGTGTGACATTTAGGGCATTTTCCGTATCAGAAGTGGTGTTATTAGCACAGACTGTACCTGAACATGGTGCAAGTGTATTTTGAGGCTGGTCACGTACAAAGACACGGGTTGGTTTCTTCTCCATTTCGGCTCCATTTCCCTTCATGAGCCAGCTGAATTTCATTTCTTGATTCAAATGGATTAGGTTTTAAAGATGTACTTTAAGCACCGCTATATTGCTGTACCGCCTCAGTACTTCTATCTGACATATTCCATGACGTATTTCTGCATATGCTGCGTACGTTCCCCAACTGAAATTGACCTATCCATGCTCTTTTGTAGCAAGGACCTTGGCAGAAATCTCATTCAACATCATGAGAGATTTGAAGCACACAACAAAGTTTTGTCCAAATGCCTAGTTTGGAGTGTTATTAATTTGAAATTATTTAATTCATTTTCTAAATGAAAGGTTATATAGTTGGTGTACATAATAATATACAATGTTTTGTCAAGCAGATGTGCACTACAGTTTTTCATTAGGTTGAACAAGACTTTTGCCAACGTTTCTGCAACGCTTGTCCACCCTGGCACTAGCTACAAAGCAATGCATTTGTGGGCAGAACATGTTTAGGTCAATTTAAAAATCTGATTGGTTGATTTATGTGAATCAGACACAGTTGGAAGCTCAGCTGTCCATATTGTGGTACTGAATCTGTCTGTTCAGTCTGTTGTTTCTTTGCCTTTGATTTAGCATCTTGCTAATATCAGAGGGGTTAAATTAGCTGACATGACTGGCCCAGGAGATTTAAAAGACAGCCAAGTAGTCAGGCTTGCCTTCAGCAGGTCTGTGATACCATTTGTTTCAGAATGATGGACAAATCACACCTAGTTACAAGGGAAAAACATAGCTTCGACCACTGCAGCTATTCGAGAGAGCTGTAATGGAAGCTAGCATTAGCTTTAGCCTTTACAAAGATGCTTCAGCAGCCTAGGCCGAATGTGAGTAGGTGGAGGAATGAGTCCATTACATCTCCTATGAGCAGTTAATGCTGGTACTGGTTAAGCTACAAGCATCTGCGTGTCAGATCACCTAAACACTTCAGGTTCAGGCCCAAATGTAATTGTGCAGTTTTGAGACGCTGAAGTCTAATTCTATTGTCAGCCTTTTTCTTTTTTTTTCCCTTTTACCTGAACACTATTGAAGCTAGGACCACTTTATTTTTCCTCTCTCAATGGGACAGGATGATGTGTAGTAGCGTGTGAAATATTCATTTTTTTTCTATTTCTTCCCCTCCCTCCCCTTTTGTTTTATAAGTATACCAAATGTAAATGTTGTATTATATTAAGTGTGCCAATTCCCTTCATGGAGACCGACTCTAATACCAAGTGCCAATTGTTGTCCAGATCACATGAGGACCGAAAGATAAGACGTCGTCCCGTTTTTAAAACCATCTGAAACACTAAATAAAAGATAAAACAAAATGAACTTTATTCTGTATTTAAGATTTAAGAGAAACTGCTGTTTTGATTTATGTATTTTTTTTTTTAAAGAAATTGTGATTTTTAAATGCATGTGCTCTGTGTTGGGGTTGGAGTTACGGGCTCAGAAAATATATTAATATTAAAACCCTCAAGATGAGGGATCATATTGGATATTGATTTATGACATTCTCGCCATATTTTTGTCTTTATTTGTACTGTTTCATTTCAACCACTGTTGCCTGAACCTCATTGAAACATGAAAAAGATTTTCATAACCGCCTTCTAAAAAAAATAAAAAAATAAAAAATAAAGTATCTGTTTTAAATTTAAATAAATTTGTTCCTATACTTGCTGCCTGTCTTGACTGTTTTCTTTGAGCTTGTAGTTATCCAGCGATGCTTGTACACATCTTTTGATTTTTATCCAATTTTCTCCCCAATTTAGTCATCTCCAATTCTACCCACTAGTTGTACACATCTTTCTTTTTTCAATAGCTAACACTAACAAGTGCTTTTACCTGCTATCTTGCTGTTATACATTATCAGGCATCTAAAAACAGATGTAAACATGCAGCATTGTGTGTTTATTCAGCAACGGAGAGTCTTTCGCTGAATTGGATTATTTGAAACTAGATAATCGTGTTCCTGTTTGCTATTCTAGGAACAAGGCTGCTTTTAGATGGTTGCTGAGTGGTTCAGTTATGATGTACTAGTTGAATCATGCCACTGTCTGGTGCAGCCGAGAGGAGAACGGGTTCTCCTTTTGAGTCTTGATTCCTCTCGCTGTTTATTCTTCATGCTCATAGGCAGTTATTTCCTGCTGCTGTCACTCTTGGCTTGCTCATTAGGGGTCCAGACCTGAATTTCTGTGAAGCTGTGTGGGATGATGTCTTGTAAAATGTGTTATACAAGTAGAATTGAATTGAGGTCACAGGTCTGAGTGTCTAGGCCCAGACCTTACCTGTGTCTTTTAGGAAGGGCAGTATGAAGCAAATCTTCTTGGTACACCAGGTAATTTTTTCTTTGTTCTTTATTTTAATACTCAATAAGTGGCGGAGTAAACTTGGAGGCATTTGGCAACCTGACCGCAGTTGATTTTTCTGAACTCTTCTAGTATATATAACTTGTTAAATTATTTCCCTTTTAAATATGTATGTCTGAAATAATTTAGTAAAAAATCAAGCTAATTCCTACACTTCCCAACTGCATGTTGGATTACAAAGAGAGGGACATTAGTTCTGTTTAACTGCATTTAGTGTAGCACAGTGTGTAAAAAAAAATTGAATACAAAACATTATTGAATTCATAGTTTTTGAAAGTATTTTTAAAATGTGGAATTTATCAAATGCCAGAAAAAATACATATTGTGATAATTTGTGTATCAAAAAAACCCTTTGGAGCAGCGACATTTTGCCATATTGCCCACTTCTATGTATTATTATAAAAGCATTTTAAAGGCTTGATTTGAAACCTGCTTACCTTCTTTATCTGTACATTGTTTTGTCTTTTTTTTTGGCCCATAAGAAACACTGTACTTTAGCTCCCCTAAAACAAAAAGTTTGGGCATTCCTGAGCACTGGTAAGCCTTTTATTAGCTAATATAAAATATACTGTACATCATCTATGTGCATTTGGCACATCTATTCCTTAGTGCTATACTGTGAGATTGGATTTGAATGTGACTTTATGTTTACAGGCATTAGTGTAAGCAGTGCTAATAATTTAACTTAAAATTCCAAAATGTGCGAACTGTACAAATTCAGAGGTCCTGGACAGACGAGTCTGTTGTAATGATGTTTCTCAAGTGGGCGTGTCTTGGAGCTTTGCTGGGCATAAATAGACACTACAGACTTAGTTTTTGTCGAATGTTTTAAATAAAATAAAATCCATATGAGAACATTAAGAATCAAAATGTAAAAAAATGTGACAAATAAAACCTCAAACTTTTTAAGAAGATATTCAATCTACTCCCAGAATCAATTCCACTGGTTTTCCAAAATTTATGCATAATCCAGTTGTTGAGATGGTAAAATAGTAAAAAAAAAAAAAAAAGTTTCCTTTTGGGACTAGTTTGCCTTACAACACCCTGCCTGTACCTCTCCACATGAATGTATTTGGAAAAAATACATTTTAGGTTAAAACTATATTGCAGAACTGCTGAAAAACTAACAGGCATCAGACAGTGTGTTCGTAACTCTTTTGTGTAACCCTTTTGTTTTAAAATTGCGAATAACCATTTATACAATGACAAAATAACAGTAGGATGCTTTAAAGCTCAACATTCACATGACAAACTGAATTTCTTTGTGAAACATCAACAGATGAAAAAAAAGAAAAAAAATACCATTCAGGATTTAAATAAAACTGAAAAGCTTCAACAGACCAGTTTATAACATTTCTTGTTTTATTGCAGGTGTAAATTCACTGATGTAGACATGTAATTGCATAGATCTGTGTGTATGAAGGTCATATGTGAAGGTATTTTCTGGGCAAATTTCTTCCTATTTATATAAAATTTAGCTTTTATTATGATAAAGCAAAAAATTACTCAAAGTACTATTAACAGGGTAGCATCTATGCAACATTCTATCAAGCACATCTTTTACTTTGTTATTAAGAACGTACTTATAGGGGAGAGTCTTTGTTGAGCTGAGGTAATAGCTGCCTTATAATTTTTTTTTTTTACATCTCTTATGTACTTTATACATTAACCCCTTAAACTCTGACTACAGGGACTTCAGTACAAACTAGTTATGCTACTCTTAGGTTACAGAAGTGTGTAATAAAACTTTGTGCCTGCTGGTGGGCTCTGGCCATTAACAGAAATCACATGGTTCAGTAAAAAAAAAAAAATCTTCATAGTGAAACATGCAGTTAGTCGGTGTTCCTTAAGAACTGACGGTATCCGCAACATGCTCAGAAAAGTGTACTGTGACGCGATTTATCATAATAACGATAACATATAATATCGCCCACCCCTACTTGAGATTACCTTTAAGTAAAGAGATAAAGTAAAGGGATAGAGTCACACACCTTCTTAAATTCAGTATTTGAACTGATAACTTCAAATTTGCAGCAGAAGTCAGAGCAGGTAATAAAATGATGATTATCAAGTAACTGATGAATAAATAAAATGTTATCTTACCACAAATGAGAGAACAGTGATCTTCCCTAATAGGTAGTGTTCATTGGGCCTCATTCACCAACCGTTCTAAAGAAGAAATTTCTGCTTAAAACCCACTTACAGCTTTCACAAAGATTCTGACATTTATCAATGTTTTCTTATTTGGGATTTGTTCTTAGATAAGAACAGAATCTACACACACTCGAGAGCACAAAGGGGGAACACATCAGGAACCTGATGTAGACTTTTTTTTAGGACTTTTCTCAAGAACAAACTTAAGAAAAAACTTAGAAAGATATTGGTGAATGAGGCCCCTTGTTCCAAAGTAAAGACGGATGAGCTGAAAATGTGTTTGGAAATTAAAAACAACTTCAATCTTGCAAAAGGCCGATAATTTTATGGGTAATTTATTAACTTTTTTTTATTAACATTTTTAGTTTTTACCTAACTATGCTGAAGAGGAAATTAGAGATAAGATTCCACATACTTGCAGGGTTTTGAGGAGTCTTCAGTTTTAATAGTCAAGCTGAGTGTTTAACGGCCTTCTGTGAGGCCGCTTTTCAAGAGTCTCCGGACGTCTGGTTCCCATCACCCCCATTGTGAACAATTCTGACTTGCTAAGTTTCTCTAAAATGGGGCATTTCACACCAAACCACTCCATGAGTTTGTTCTCATCTTTAAAACAACACAATTTAACACAACAGAAAAAATAAATGGCATCCCCCTTTAATTCCACACAGACCCCTCTAGAAACAGAGGGATTTCACCAGATGGGGGCAGCTCGACAATGTATAATGCAGTGAACCATCAGCACAAAGAAAATGGAAAACTCAGCTTCTAAAAGCCACTTTTTTCTTACAAATCATCCTTTTATGTGTGACACACACCTAGTTTAGGCAGAATTAACACTACTTTCGCGCTCTTTCTGATTTTTTTGTTTTATAATGGGCACCTTTTGTCCAAACCCGCTGTTTTTAAACAATGACTCGTGCGGGCCATCTGATCGTGTTTAATAATTAATGGACTAACCTCAGGGGGAGATTATTTTGCCACACGCAAAATGATTTTACCTCGTGATTTGCATTTGAATGATGGCCTCGCTGTGTTTGTGCTCCCCTGGGTGTGCTCCTAATGGGCCCTGTGTGAGTGAGTGTGGCAGGAACAAAAGATCAGCTCCCCACACCTTCCAGTCGGAGCTTGCTGAGCGGAGGCGCTTCTGCCAAACTCTAATCTGACTCACTAGCCGCCTGACATGGGCCTTGTGTGCGCCGCCTTAACCCCTCATCCCTCGGGGCAGAAGCTGCCCGGTGCCTCCGTCTTCTAACCACAGTTCCGGGGGAAAGCGGCGGGGTCGCTCCGGCGTTTGACAGCGAGGAAGGACAGGAAGACCTACTCGGTTGAGTACTACAACAAAATAAGAAAATAAGCGACACACCGAACTTTTAGTGCTGATTTACAGCGTCCGTCGCTTTCGAGATTTGAACTGTCGTCTTCGTACCGGCAGTTTGTTCCTACTAACTTACCTGCTAGCCTAACGCTACCTTCGCTTTCCTGGGCGCGAAAAACAGTACTGTTGGATTTGTCGGCTTGGCACCCATATTTCCTCATATTACTCCTCCTGGGCTACGTATTTCCCTCAGATTTTCATTTTCAGCCGTTTCTGTCTTGGTTTGACCGTCTCTAGCTCGGAAATTGCAAAGCTAACCAGGCGAAGTGAAGTGAGTGACTAGCCGCTCTGCTTTAGCTCTGTGTAAACACAGGAACGTAAACTGGACTAACGTTAGCACTGGGGTTTTAGCCAAAAGCTCCTCGGGAGCTGCTGCTAATGCGAGCGAAAAGAAGAAGATTGAGGCTCCTCGTTTCTTCTTCGTCCTCAAACTGTTAAATTAAAGCAGAGCTCAGAAGCAAAGCAGCGAAAAGATTTTTTTTAACACATAATCTCATCCGAGGACAGCGAACAAAGAGGATTTCAACCCAAAGCGTTTTATTTCGCTTGGCGAAGAAGAAGGAGGGAGCAAGAAAACTGACATGATGTTTCCACAAGCAAGGCACTCGGTAAGTGTGCTGTTGTTGTACGTTAGCTTTCATTTGCACGTTGGTAAAACGCTTGATTTAGGCTGGCTAAGCCTTGTAGTTAATATCAGCGGGATGTTCAGCCTTTTTGCAGGTTTCTTTGAGCTCCTCGTTGGGGAGTTGTTGACTTGTGTTCATTGTAGTAGAGAAAGGCATAACAGGTGGGGTCCCTTTGCGAAGATGGAGTTGTGTTTTTTAGTCCAGCGAGACCAGAGATTCTCTGTGTATTAAGGTATTCGTGAAGTATGGTCCATCATTTATGCTCTGCCTCCTAAACATTTCCCAAAAAACAGCTCTGTAGCTGCTTCAGAGGCCAGCTTTGGTGGAGCAGCACGTTAGCTCCCTTTCCAGCCTTGCAGAGAGTTTGTGTGGGTCTGTGTCTCACTATTTCATAAAAACCATAAGTATAATGAACTACTGACATTATAGACCATCATTTTACCAACATAAACCCATTAAAAAGCCTGTCTGCCTGTGCCTTATGGAGAGAAATTAGTGTTAAATTCAAAAACAATCATTACAGTGGCAAGATGTGAAATGCAGTGTACACATGACATTACTTTTCCATAGTTACATGCAGAATACCTGCCAAAATCAAAGCAAAACCTCTGTTACATTGTTTTTACGTCACTTCACCTGTTTACTGAAGAAAAATACACAAAAATTTGTATCTGAGTTTGTCAGAATTGAATATAGTCCACCTTGAAGTGTAATGAAGGCACAGTTATACTGCTTCCCACCATGCAGTACTTTTAGCAGATTTTCCTCCCTGAAATGCAGTCATAACAGTGAAAACCATGCAATACAATGCACTACATTACTTTTCCATAGGCAACATGAGAAATACCAAAATGAAAAGCGGAACCTCTACTACAATGTTTTCACATCGCTTCATCTCTTTTTTCTACTTAAAACGTACTGAGATGCAACCAAAACAGTGAAATGCAGTGCACACAATATTGCGTGTAAACAGTAACATGCGGAAAATGTACCAAAATGAAAAGTGAAATATCCGTGACACTGATTTAACATTGTTTAAAGCTCCTTCTTTACATTCGTATTCAATTCTGACATGAATCTGTGGTTTTGTTTTTAGACTGTAAATCTTGATGTAGCAGTAAGCAAGCATGGTAAAAACAGTGTAATAGAGGTTTTGTTGCTTATTTTGGCACATTCTGTATGTCAGTATGGAAAAGTAATGTGTGAATTTTTTCACTGTAGTGATTTGCTTTCTAGTTTGGCATGAATTCTTCTCCATAGTCCTTAGCACTCCCGCATTGTCTTTAACAAAGGAAGTTATGGTCTTTGGTGGTTGGTAAAGGCCAAGTGTGACACCCACACTGGGTACCTGCTGCTGGAGATGGGCTTGGTCTTGTGAGCTGGAACTGATCCAGCGCATTGAGGTGTATCGCCATGTTTCTCAAAGTTATGTGTTGTAGTTTTCTGTTTGTCCTTGCCCTAACACACCTGTTTAGTTCATGATTGGTTTGGTAAATAGCTCATTTGGAGGTCAGGTGTGTTGGACCAGGGAAGAGCACTACACTTATAGGATGGTAGTACAAGAGGATTGATCTTTTAAGGGGGCAGTTTGGCCAGGAAGAGCAATGTAACCATCACTACATCTGTTCTAAACATGCCTTCTCGCTTCCTACAGTGCTCCTACGATAGTTCTAAGAGTGAAATTTTCCAGAGTAAACACTAGAAGCCCTTTCTGATGATGTCTTGAGGGTGGGAGGAACTTTTGAAACCTACTGTGAATTTTTGGTGGCAAGCGGTTTGAAATGCTTCTCCCCCACTAGCTGGCTAATGCTAAAGGCTACTACTAAGAAGTTGAATATCACGTCTATATTTATTAGGCTCTGCATCAGTGGATTTCTTTGTCATCAGTGAGGTGGATTCCCAGCTGTTGTTTGACCTGTTTGGTCAAAGCATGATGGGTATTGTAGTGAGAAAACACTGACAGATGGAAATAAAATTGTGAATTCTGTCAAACTGATGAGGCTGAGGGTGTGATGCTGTGCTACAGAATTTTACATAACATGGCAACTTAAAACACAGATTTTAGGCAAGAATGCCTCTTTAAATTGGCCTGTTTAGGTTTCTGGAAGGGAATAAAACTTATGTAATAATTAAAAAAAAGATCTGTATGGCTGAATGATGATGATGATCATTGATGATGATGATGCAGCCGCTGATAAACTTTTCCTGAATGGAGTGAATTATGAATTATGTAGCAGTGGAAATAGGGTGTTTTAGAGGGTGAAATTAGACAGTAGTTCAGTATGCACTAATGAACAAGATGCCATCTTACAGTTCTTTTTGCTGCACATTACAATTGCAGTATGCCCTCCAATATAGTGAAAACTCAAGTGAATACTTCGATTCATCTCAACACATAAAGAACACCTGTGGTTGGTCAGAATGCTCACATCACACAGTGAAGCATTCATTGATTGCTTATATCTCTATTTGAATATTGCGCACTTGTATGTTCAGCGATATTGGTGTTGCGAAGGGCAGTGTCACGATAGTGATTATCAAACGATGCGTTTTGCAGCTCTAATGATTCACATGAAAATACATTTAGTTATGTCACCATATGAAGTGTAATGAACATTCATGGAGTGCTGACTTTATAAGCCTCGTAACAGACCAACATAAACCTATTAAAAATTTTCACGGCATGATTTTTGTTTTTTAGCATATAAAGGTATAAGGAGTGGTTGCTAGTTCCCTTTCCACACAGCTTCAGTTGTTTCTTTTCCGTGAATGAGAGTCCCTATCCACAGAGCAGTGTTCCTTAATGAGTCCCCTGCCATTGGTTTTGTTAGTGCTGCTCCCAATTGTGCTCCCCAGGCTGCAACACAAACAGATCTCTATATGCAAACACAAGGTTGTTAAATGCAAAGAAAAGGGACTCTGCAATTAATGAATAAATAGTTTAGAACTGCACCTGTAACCAAGCTGAGGCTCTATCCCATTTCTTTTCCACCAGCCAAGAAATGCTGTGGAATTCCACTCACGTTTGAATTTGCACATGCATTTCCGAGCCCTGTTTTTTTTTTTTTTTTCCCCCCTGTCCTCCAAGTAATGGATTCACTTTTGCCTGATGAATTTCTGAAATTCAAATAACTACCTTGAGGACTACAGGTTTAAACCTTTTCAGCTGTCGTAATAACGTTCTCATAGAGTCTTGATATTGGCTAGTCATTGGCATTCATTTAAAAAAAATGTCTATCTTTGGTGTAGCTGTTGTTGGAAGCCAGATACAACAGAAGAATCCATCTCACCCAAAGGCTGTAATAACTTTCATTACATCAAGTGCTTCCCTTAAGGCAAAATCTTACGATTTGGCTCTAAATCTCTGAAACAGCCCGCACAAAAACTGGCCCCAATCTAGGATTAACCAGCGGATTCTCAATTGCATCTTCAATCTAGGATTAGGACTAACAGCTGGATCCGCAGTTGAATCTTGACCTTCTGGGAGTTGCTTGATTTTGTAGAACAGAGCGAAGAATGTGGATTCGTTCTGGCTATCTCGGTTGACCAAGGGCCTTTTAAGGCTGATGGGTAAATTGTTGTCTTAATGAAAGTTAAATAAAGTTTAAAAAAAGGAAGAAGAAAGGCTGCTGCTCAAGAGGATTTGCTGTTCTTATTTCCTGCCTGGTCCTGCCCAGGGTTGCATAGTATGTTGACTGATAATACACAAATGATCAGCCTTAGATGCTTCTGGTTAGCTAGCTGGTATGTTAGTCATTGGGTCCACATGTGAGGCCTACTCAAGGTTTCCAACATATAAATAGATAAATAACTGCTTAAAATTGTGAGCTGTGGCTGCAAACAGTTGCTAGCAGGCCAGCCAGCTAACCAGTCCAAAACAATATGTACATAAATTCCAATATTTTATTAAAAGATTTTAAAGCTAGTATTTTCAGAAGCTCTCTCTGGCTTGATAGTGCAGAGAAAGCAACTGCATGATAAAAGGCAGTCCATGTTTAATTTCGAAAGGCTCCAATTGTTTTTGACTCAAAAAGAACACCAGTTTGTATTACTAAGAGTCCCCCAATTAGCAAAATATTCATTATATTGGTTTATTGTTAGAAAAACAAAAGTAGTGAATGCAGAATGCAACATGGAATAAATTACTGCATGAGATTGATATAATATGCAAAACGATATTTTGTAATAATTGCTATTTTGTGCTGAAAATAGTGGATATGATCAAATTATAGGTCTTGCTGGTGCTGCCATTATGTGGATGTGATGAGGGAGCCCCCTTGAGCTATGGTGATTTGCTCCTGTGATTGGTACCATCTTTATTTCTCTTTTATAACCTGTTGTGGCATTGATGTCTCTGTCTCTATGTATTATTTTAGGGAAGACCAGTAACCATAGACAATAAGAAAGGTGGGTGTATGTGAAGGAGTAGGGAAAAATAATAGATTCTTAGAACCTGTTTGGAAGCTTGTGTTTCCTGGTTGTATCTGGATGTACTTTGGTCAGGTTCCATTTACACTTCACTAAAATTCTTCACCATTTAGGCCAGATGAGATCTGGTTTTTACTTTCCCTGTGTAAAAAGCACATATGTCGTCGGCCTCAGATCATAAGAAAGGTAGTTGGTTTGGTAATAACTCCAGCCTTTTTCATTCTCAGTTTTTGTTTCCTTGTTTATTCTCTCACCTGCTAGTCAGCGCCCAGCAGATGTATTTCACACACAAAGCTGTATACGGATAACGTGAACGCATTCTGTTTACACTTATGGTCCGTGTGGTCAAGATCCATCTCTCATCACCTCCGAATGTGGTTTGAGTGATCCAATCGAAATCTGAACACAGTGCATCCTGGGGATGTTTACAGGTGAAATTCAAACATCTGTTCACCAAAAACACGTTACATGTTGATCCAATAAGTAAACAGGCCATCTGGTGCATCACAGTCAATCATTGTAAGACTTATGCTCACGACTTATGTCTTCACCAA